TTTTCTTTCAATTCTTATCAAATATAACTATTTACCATGAAAGATTAGTTATTTACTGAATTTACAATCATTGCTGTTTCAAACGAACCTTTTGTGTTGATAATTTAGGATATATTCAACGTTCCACACCAAGCATGGCTCAGCCCTAATTTTCGGTGTGACATTATATATCCTTCCATTTCAGGGATCGGGAATAGAGGGAAAGCATTGCCATGACACATACACATAAAACTTTAAGCTCCTCTTTTAATATTCATATTAATTGGACCGCCTCCGTGGTCTAGTGGCAGAGCGTCCGCCCGGAGAGCGGAAGGTCCGGGGTTCAATCCCCGGCCGCGTCATACCAAAAGACGTTAAAAGATGGTACTCGTTGTTACCCTGTCTGGCGTTCGACATTAAAGGGCTAAAACAAGGACTGGTCGGCTGATGATTCCAGTTCATACATCCTTCTGACGTCCTGCATGAAGACCTGTAAATGAAGCCCGAGATGTTCACCACACTACATGTACAATTCCCGAGCACTAGTGAAGCCATGCCCCTGCATTCAGATGGTTACTTATATGCATACAGTTACTGTTCCAATGTGTGACATGTCTCATTCTCATTCAAGTCTTATATTTGAAGTTAGTTAAGATATAAAGTAAGTGACACATTTATTGTTCCACTGGACAACTTGAGTAGAGAAAGGAAAAGACAATCTGATATTACACAGGAAGCAGACAAATAAAACCAGGAACAACTTCACGTCGAACTGCAAAAAAAAGAAACATATTTATCGCCTGTGCTTCCTACTACTTCACTCATTCAAGTTCATAATGTGTGTAGGGTGACTTCAGATAGTGAAATTATGTTAGGCAGAATAGCATGAAACCTGTATAGACCACATTTGTATTTCCGCGGCAGCAATTGAGTATATACATTGCATGACTTCACTTCACTAAACGCAAGGTCACACTGCAATTTTGAAGATAGGTTATTGGATAATTAAATATATATTCTATAAGTTACGTGTTGACAATATAGATATAATTACATCACGACCTTTCAAGTTTCAGATATGAAAGCAAATGTCATCTGTTGTTTGTTTGTTTGTTGTTTAAAGCCGCACCTAGCAATATTTTAGATAAAATGACGGCTATCCCTCCACCATCATGTGAATCATGTGAAGTATATATTATTATACTTTGTTTCTTTGATGTTTAACGCCGAACTCATCAGTATTCTAGCTATATTACGGCGGTCTGTAAATAAGTCTGGACCAGGCAATCCAGTGATTGACATCATCAGCATCGATCAACGCAATTGGTATTTGATGACATGCATCAACAAAGTCAGCGAGCCTGACCACCCGGCCCCGTTAGTCGCCTCTTACGACAAGCATGGGTTGCTGTAAGTGTCTAACTAGGATATTAACTGGTAAAATGCCATCTGAAATTTACTGCGAAAACAATATATGAAATGCTATACTTCCCCATAGATAACATCAATATGAAATTTTTGATATGACATGTTGGCAAGAAGTTGTCATTCTGGTGGGTACTATTTGTTGCACAATCATTGCCTATCGCTTTCTTTGTGCGAATAAATCGGATTTACTTCTGTTACCTGTCGATTCCCAAAACTGAGATAGCTATGCAGAAGCGGCGAGAGTGGTCAAGCTTCCGAGATGGGCTAGGCAGGGAATCGGGGATGATGAGTGATCCTCACATGAATGTTTGTTCCAAAGCGATGAAATGCGTGAGAGATACGTATACACACTATTCTCCCGTTATATACGAGCTAACAAGATACTGTAAAGTTCACATGTTTAGAAAACATACTACCACCGTCCCCGGTAAACCGGACCTGAAGTTTAAACACCTCTCTGGCATCTCAATATGCTAATAGTACTTCCTGACGCCTGATCACTGCCCAAACACAAAGAGAATTTGACCAAAGAGAAAAGATACATCAGTGATATCGTTCAATAATTGTCAAATAGCTAATAACCTTTCCTGGATATCCCCACCTACACCATAACTTACAAAAGACAAAACGAACTAATATGTAAATATCCCAAAATGAAACGATCCCATATCGATTCTCCCATGGTGAATGCTCAAAAGATGCACCTTTAAATAAATAATAATAATACATAAAGGGTATTGAGATAGTGTGAAAATAAAGCTACCACAGAGAAGCGTTTGGTGCTGGTAGCTACTGTTGTCAAGGTAGTCGGCATTTTTAAAACATTTCACTCCTCAGCAAAAGCCATCTGCGCATGCGCGAAGTGCTGAGTCAGTGTATCAGCTATTTTATCCATACCAGGCGAGCACTGTAGTTAATTCGCACAGAAGTGTGCAGGGCTGAACAGCCGTGTTATACAACATAACCTTCAAACATGAAACGAATCGATTATTGAAGATCTGTTTCCTGTTGAGCTACGTTGCATAGTGAGCTATCTTCTGTTTTTGATTAGTTTTCTGTCTGACATGAATACGTTTCTGAAGAAAAAACGATGATTTATTTGAGACTTAAAGGGACTCAAATCATTCAGATGTTATTTTGGTTTTCAGTTAAGTAAAATTGATCCATCTGAAAGTTCACAAGCCAAAGTCTCGATTTCCCGCAGGCGCTTATTACAGTGTCGCCCATTGAATTTTGACAGTGAGTGAGTGAGTTAAAATTTAACGTCGCTATTGCAACGGCAATATTGCAACCATATTGTGACGAGAATTTCCGCAGAGTGTGGTCACACTGTACAATTTCTAAGAATAAATGCATCACCAGGAAGGTGTGTACAAGCTTGACGGAAGAAATGAAAAGTCTGTACTGAACGGAGCAGTGTATAAATATACCGAACAGGACAGTGACGTGTCCCTGGTATAAGTTGCTGGGACGATTGAAATACGTGTATAATTAGAGTGTTGAAAATATTAGCATTGCTATTATTTATTACCAGGTCTCAAAGTGTATGATATGGCGGACTTGGTTTGATTATTTGACCATGGCCTGTGCTATACATGGGGGGTAGAGTACACAGGAAGTATTTGTAGCGAGCGTGGTACACTGACGAGTTACTGATATAATCAGTAAGAAACCAGAGCGGGATGATGTGCAGTTGGAGTTGGACTACTGTCATTTGTGTTTTGTTGTTTTCCAAACGTTGCATAGGAGGGGCGCCGACAGGTAAGGCTGATGCAATAAAAACATACATAATTCAAAGGATGAGGTGACGTGAAATGTAGTTTAACGTCATGCTCAAGATTATTGAGTGAACGCGCGTCTGTGTTTGAATTAGTACTAGAGGCTGTCAACTAAGCAATTTACACAAACTTCCACTTTAAATTCCTAACTTGGCACGAGTTTTATACAATGTATATATATCCAGATATGTAAACCACTTGTGACTGAGTTGAGTGTTGATAGCTGTAAGAGTTGGTAGGCAGTATCAAGTTTAGTGAGTGAGTGAGTAGGTTGGGTTTAACGCCGCTTTTAACAGTATTCCAGTTATATCACGGCGTGTCAGCTTAATGTGGGAGGAAAGCCCGAATTGACGTTTACCACTTCGGTGAAACCCAGGAGCACGGGTATAGTGCTGACAAACCTAGAAACATAATTGGGGGATTCGAACCCACAATCATAGGTTTCTGGTGTGTACAAGGGACGCAACTCTGCAAAATTAAGTACGAATCATTCACTCTGTTTGCGTTATATACGTGATGAATGTGTGTGTGTGTGTGTGGGGGGGGGAGGCATTCATTCATTCAGGGTCACGAGTGGCCCAGTCGTCTAAGGCGCCGCGATTCTCTGTGCAGAGTTGCGTCCCTGGGGCAAACCTAGGATTGTGGGTTCAAATCCCGGTTCGCCTCAATTATTTTTCTAGGTTTGTCAGCACCATACCGGTGGTCGTGGGTGGTAAAAGTGTAAAACGCCTGAGACCCGCATCACTTCGGGCTTTCCTTCCACATTAAGCTGACACACTGTGATATAAATGGAATAAAAACCGGCATTAAACCCAACGCACTCACTCACGAAGAAAATGGAAAATTTAATCTTAGAATTATATGTAGACGGGTGTCCTACATAAAGACTCAACAGATAAATGTTCATACAAAAACTCAGTTAATATGTAACAAGTTTGAACATCAAGAACTAAACAGAAATAAATGATCCGCCACGATCAATGACACGAGACACCTTTCATTCACCGAATGGAACCCGAACATTGTCATAATCAAAATGTCAAGTACGTTATACACGTTGGCATGAGCATTCATGGAATTGAATATGTCGTGGATATGCTTGTTAGGAACAATCTGCAGGAACGTACACGCGTGATTGTATCTTTACACTTCCATTTACAATAGCATTCTATAGCTAAAACTATCCTTCTTGCGTTTCAGCAAACGTAACCGTTGAAGAAAATGCTACACTGTCATGGTCTCTACCCAGACCTACAGCCAACGAGTACACCGTTTGGAACACACGCGCAGGGAAAGCCATATTCCATATAACCAACTACAATAATGTCACTCACGTGAACTCAGAATCTAGGATCACATTTACAGGGAACATATCACCTTCTGGAACAGGATTGTTCAGATTTATCATTAGAGATGTCAAGTTTCATGACGAAGGCCGGTATGAGTGTTTTTCGCGATCGCCGGGTAACAAAGGATTCGCAATTACTGATTGTGGACAGACACTTATCGTGATGGGTATGTATGAGGCAAATGGTATGGATACTCCCTTAGTACATGTTACTTTGCTACTTTTTGCGATGTAAATACATAGATATACCACACAAAATAGGTTTAAGAACACCCGTTTTTGTCATATGCCTATAGTTAATTTATCATGGCTGGTAGGTATTACAACATATAATCTTCCAACTGCTGGTGTTCTGTAACTATTTTACAAGTAATTAAACTATTGTTTCAGTAAATGTGTAGTCGTTTGGAAAAGCAATTGAATTATAAATGTTATATTTGATGCATTTATCTTTCAGCTGCGTCAAATGTTTATATTCGTTTTGGAGAAACAGCTACTCTGACTTGGAATTTGCATGGGTCTCGAAACAAAGATTTTTTTATCAGAAACGATTTTATGAGAGAAAATGTGATTCACTTCACGAACTACAACAAAGTCAATATTACTAGAAAGAAATCAAGAGTGGAATTCACTGGAAACATAACATCCTCAGGAACTGGTCTCTTCAGCTTCGTGATCAGTAGCGCTGACGACCATGACTTTGGTCAGTACAGCTGCTACCTTGGTTCACCACAACGTCCAGGAACAAAGATTCCCAACTGTGGGCAACAGCTAGTTGTGATACGTAAGTAGTTCATTTACAGAAACACTATCCGGAATTTGAGCATGGTAACTAAGTCTACACAATATATCAACATGTCACAGACCAGGGCAGCTGTAACAGGGTATTTTGGAGAGGGATAATGTTCATGTTTCCAGAAAAAAAGTATGTCCATTCATGTAAATTTCCCAGATATTTCGCCCTTTTCGCCAAATGTTTCCGCGGATAATCTAGACTGGTGTCTTTTGCATTGACAATGTATATTTACGTTGGTGATATCATCATACCGATATCGGTATTGAACCCTATTACGACAGCATTTACAACACACTTACAAATATATAAGCAACTTCATTTGCATATATGGTTATTTTTTCAACAGGAGTTCAAGAACCTTATATCGAGGGCCCGGAAAAGGCATCCTTTGGCGGTTCTGTTAATCAGACATGCAACACCTTTCTGAAAAGTTACCCCAGTTTGAACCTGCCCATGTCCTTTGTCTGGATGAGGAACGGAATGAGTGTGGAGAATGGAGGCAGGCATCAGTTGGTGTCTGGTAGCAGTAGATGTAGAGGCGGGCGATGCATGAACAGCACTCTGACTATCGTTGGCGTGACAAGGAAGGACAGAGTAGACATATACTCTTGTCAGACAGTGGTCGGGGACAATATACTCACAGACCAGAGTGTGGAGTATGTCCTTGGTGTGTCATGTATGTATTCATTACAAGTGTGACGGGTAACTTCCCATTTGTATGACCGCCAGTTATTACACAGCTTAAAAATATATTTCAAAGTGGGTGCACAACTAAGAAGCCAACTGTTACCTCAGATAAGTAATGGAACATCCCAGTTAGAGAATAACATAGCACCATACTAGTCTGCTCCTCTCTGCGACATAGTATATTCTGCTTTGCATAAGCAAGCCATGTCGATAACATCGATATTGTTGGCACTTTAAGTGTTTAAGAAGTCGCCTTCTGCCATAGCAATTTCAGTTGACCCGTCCCTCTTTGGGACTCATGTGTGTGAGAGTAGCTGCACACTCTTTTGGAGCTTTTGTACCGATACATGTTCTGTTTTGGTTTTTATTAGATTATGCTATTTTCCCATTGATTTTGAGAAAGTGATAGAAGTTCTTGGATGTTCAGTGTATATACGTTCGAGTAAGATGTTATATTGTGTCTGCAAACTACTAAGATGCGCATCAATTTCTGGCAAGCTCTCCTCTCACCCTCAAATTAAGACAGACCCACAATAACTGTTGCTGTGTAGAATTACAGTATTACAGAAATACGGTGTAAAACACACCTCACCTACTCGTGTCATTGCAACTGTCGATATTGTCATTAGTAGAAAACTGACTATGTTGTAGATGTGCCTGAGTCTCCTCATAACACGGAAGTGCACGAGGGAGACACTGTGTTGCTTTCCATGAGGACACCCCAACATCAGTCAAGAATATACCTTAAAGACCCTAATGATAGAAATGTGTTTGAAATGGACTCTGCCGAAGTCTACATATGGGAAACCTACTGGACCAGGATCAAGATCGTGAAAGTCCTCACATCCTCGGATGAAGTCGCTGTACAGTTCCAACTCTCTGACATCGCATCAACTGATTCTGGCAGGTACCACTGTAGCCTGGAGGGTCATGGAAGCTGTGACTGGGAACACGTGCTGGTTGTTTTTAGTAGGTCAACCTGCCTTGTTTCATATGTATGTATGTATGTATGTATGTATGTATGTATGTATGTATGTATGTATGTATGTTTGTATGTATGTATGTATGTATGTATGTATGTATGTATGTATGTATGTATGTATGTATGTATGTATGTATGTGTATGTGTGTGTATGTGCGCGCGCGCGCGCGCGTGTGTGTGTTTGTGCGTGCGTGCGTGCGTGCGTGCGTGTGTGTGTGTGTATGTGTGCAGGTATGTATGTAATAGAACAAATGGATAATAGATGCCAGAATGAAACGAAGTAAAACTATACTCACACCTCTTTTGCGCATGGATATTTAACTTTAAAAAAAACCATCACTCGTATTTTAGATAACTCTGTGACTGGGTCGGCTTCACCATCTGTCGTAACATCTACTACAGGTAAAGTATATGCATATGATTCGTACTACTGAATCTCTCAAAATGTGATTAATTCATTGACATTCGTCTCTTACAATCCTGTAAATGATCGGAATGCGTAAACATGCCACGCCAACAGTATGCAGATATTGTTTGATTCGGTGAAATGTAAATACAACAGGAATTTCAGAATTGTGTATTTCTCTTGTGCATGGTTATTATTATAATCGTTTCTATAAAGATCACTAATATTTTAGATGTTATTGCGACTGTACCACATTCACAATTTTACGAACCTCCACTGCAGGTCAAGTTTATGATCACTTTATGGTATTTTACCCCGAAAAGCTTGTAGCAAACTTTCAATCGTGTGTATAGACATTTGAAAAAATGGATTGTGTATGCATGTTGTATGAAGAATATGCAATTATAGCTTTTTGGGGTGAATTGTTCCTTCGTCTTGTACATGATTATTATAATCATTATAATTTCAATAAACATCATTCATATTTTAGATGGCACTGTGACTACACCAGCTTCACAATCTGACGAAAACTCCCCTATAGGTAAAGTATATGATTCGTATAATCGACTCTGCAGTCGTGAATAAACCATTAGTGCTTTTACCATGTCCCCTGAACAAATATGGGAACATACCATTCAAGTCAAAAAGGGAATTGCTTCTCACTCATTTTTGTCATTGATGCGTCAAATTTGAAAATATGTTTGACATAAAACCTCTCTGAAGCTTTGGGACCCGTGAAGATTCCGGGGTAGAATAGGTCTTCAGCAACCCATGCTTGCCGTAAAAGGTGACTATGCTTGTCGTAAAAGGCGACTAGCGGGATCGGGTGGTCAGGCTCGCTGACTTGGTTGATGCATGTCATCGATCCCAATGGCGTTGATCAATGCTCATGACATTAATCACTGGATTGTCTGGTCCAGACTCGATTATTTACAGACCGCCGTCATATAGCTGGAAAATTGCTGAGTGCGGCGTAAAACAACAAACCAACCAACCAACTGAAGCTTTGGTAAGGCCTTGCATGCCGTAAACCCAATTAAACAACATTAGAGCAAAAAGTCGTATGAGGATTTTCGATGCTCGATTTTACCTGTAAAATGTAGACACTAAAGACCGCAGCTGCTGGAATATTGCTCAACAAAAAGGGCAGGGTTAACTATTGGAGAGTTGAAGTCGTGCCGACTTGTGGAGAATTGTTTGTCACTCTTTATGCATAGATCTAAAATAAAACTGAGGAGCCGGCTTCATTGGTCTCTTTGATTTCAAGTTCAAGTTCAGTAAACGATTGGAAGGGAATTGTCTATTTGACCATTATTTAGCAATTATTAATGGTCATCCATATACCTGAAGCTTAATGTCAGGCCTGTTGGCCAAATTCCCATCTTTCGATTTTGCCACTTAAAGCAGGAATTCAGATTCGTTTGCATAACAAACATATCGACAAGTTGGGGAGCACAATTGGTGCCTATGTTGATACCCTCTTGCCTTATTGTCGTAAACACAACTGTCACATTTAGCGGTCACCAAGAATAGTACATAAGGCCGTTGTAGGATGCGATTTCATTACATGATCCCATATCCTACACATTTCATTCGTGATACACATGGTATAGTACTTGTGTGTGAATGATACATCATAGATGTTCCTTCATTATTACAGGAGACACGATATCGACATCAGCATCGCCAGTGTCCTTATCCTCTCCTGCAGACAACATGGACGTGCATAGTGAAGAAGACATACACACCTATTCTTTGGCTGAAGTTGTTGGGTTCTCGGTGGTGAGCTCAGCTGTGAGCATTGTGATGACCGTCGCTATTGTAATGCTCAAACGACGAAAAGGTCAGATGAAAAATTAACAAGACCAGTATGTTTGGAGAAATGTCTTTTCCTTACTTGGCAAATGTTCGACATCCTTAACATTATGATGGTAATACTCATTGGTCATTTGATTCTTTGTCAGGTGCATTTAAGTCATTTTCTTATCCATTACGTTTCAGTACACAGTAACAACAAGTAAGTATTAGAGCTATTCATAATTATCTTAATCCTCGAACCATGTAATTAGCACTATCCTAATTATAAATATTTAGTATGGTGTCTTCTCCAGCAGAAATTCGCTGAGCACGTCAGAAACCTATGATCGCGAGTTCGAATCACGGTTCGCCCCCATTATGGTTCTGGGTTTGTTAGCATAATACTCGTGCCCTTGGGTTTCACCAAAGTGGTAAACATATAAGATATGCATCACTTTTGGTTTACCTACCATAATAAGCTGAATACTGTTCAACGCGGCGTGAAACCCATACTCTCATACTCTTCTTAAACAGCAACCATGTACTAATGGCTGTTTGAACGAAACAGAGACAATTCTATATACAGTGTATACTATTTGTGACAACAAAGTACGATTTGTGTTTTTACAGACTTCCAGCGGCATTGTATGTCACGCCAAGACATGATGAGAATGAAGGCTATGCTACTATCGACACTATATAAGAGTGTGGCCTCATGGAAGGCAGATACCCACAAGGCCTCGGCAAATCTGACGAATTATTCTTCTTCTCTTTTATACAGTCCTTTTTCATACAGTCACATAATAAGAGTGAGCGTGTTTGGTTGCCTGCCACGTTTCAGTTCCATTACACGTTAGGAAAAGGCTACACAATGATCGATATACAGTATTGTCTTTGTAGATATCAAAATGACAAAGGATATGTGATTCGGAGTGAAGAAAGAGTTTACCTGGACTATTTCGGATTTAATTTTTCATCACTTTTTTAACAATTGAGGCTGAACAGACATAACGAAACGAAATCTAAATCATCTAAAATTGACTCTGATATCAAATTAGTTTTCAGCACCGATATGAACTTACATCACATGTTTTTTAAGAAAATGGGTGAAGTAATGTAGGTTTAATATATACGAAAGAATGCAGCACTGTAGAACGGAAATACTGATCGATCAATATGTCATAGCTTACATATACGTATTTCGTTTTGTGTTTGATAAAATTAACAGTTTTGATTTGCATGCATAAGTGTTGTTCTTGTTATTTATTCATATTAATGTGTTACTATTTCCTGAAACGCGATACGGGCGGAAGATGTCCCAACATTTTAAGATAAACTGTCCACTGACTGAGGGTAACTGCTTAATAAGAAAATTTAAGCTTGATATCCCCAGCAATGTAGACAGTATGCCCCTGAAATAAGTTCATTAAGAATAATATATATTTATTATTCAATTGACTTCAATTTATTATTGAAGAGGTTGTCGGAAATCGATGTTATAAATATTAAAACTTTCATGGAGGAACATACTAGTGAAAGGAAGCTTTCACAAACATTTCATATTCTCATAATGTGCGACAGACGTCATGAATTCTGAATTCATTTTGTGATTTCAATGACTGTGGTTATATCAGGTGCTGACAAATGTCAACAATATGGCTCAAGCGTTGCCGACTTTAAATTTTAACACACTCACTCCATCCCCACCTGAAGAAGATTAAATAAGGACGTATGACAATATTTCACTGCTGACAAGTTCCTCTTTCTTTTTCTATTTCTGTTTGTGTGTTATGTGACACCGCAGTCAGCAATATTTAAGGTGTACCATAGCAGCCTTTAAAGCATCGAAACAAAGCCTGGCAAATAAGTGATTGACATTATGAACAACGTTCCTCACCGATGAGGTACAATGAAAACAATGGGAATTATTCTGACCCGAAGACCTAATCTAACCCGGATCTTCTGTGGCGCAGCAATCCCCCGCGTCTCTAGCATTGCCAGCCAGCGTTCAAACTACATCATTTTGCTTCCTTTAAGTCATCGAAACAAAGCCTAGCAAATCAGTGATTGGCATTTATGAGCACCGTTCCACAATTATTCTGCAACGTGGTCACATACACTTTATTTTGTCTCATTATTTCAGTCACAACACGACGGTGTCCTTAAATGAGCTAGATGACATGGTGAGAATAATATGTGTTGGATGGCTGCACAATATAAAAGAGTGAGTAAGTGAATATGGTGTTACGCCGCTTTTAGCAATATTCTAGCATTATCACAGCGGGTGACACCAGAAATGGGCTTCACTCATTGTTCCCATGGGGGAATCGAACACGAGCCTACTGCGTGACGAGCGAACACTTTAACCAATAGGCTGCCCCACAATCCCCTCTGAATCATGTGAAGTATATATTATAACGCTTGTTTATTTGGTTGATGTTTAACGCTGCACTCGGCAATATTCCAGCTATATGACGGCGGTCTGTAAATAACCGAGCCTGGACCAGACAATCCAGTCGTTGACATCATGGCCATCAATCAACTCAATTGGGATTTGATGATATGTATCAACAAAGTCAGCGAGGCTGACAACCCGATTACGTTAGTCGCCACTTACGACAAGCATGGGTTGCTGTAAATGTCCAACTGGGATATTCACGGGTAAAATGCCATCTTAAATTTACTGCGAAAACAATATATGAAAAGCTAAACTTCCCCATAGATAACATCAATATGAAATTTGGGAAATGACATTTGGCAGAAAGTAGTCATTCTGATGGGTACTAATTGTGGCACCACCCTTGCTGGTTTCTTTATGCAAATAAATCGGATTTACTACTGTTACGTGTCGATTTCAACATTGAAACAATACGTTAACTGAGAATTTAAACAGACGCGGCGAGATGGACTAGGTAGGGAATCAGGGATGATGAGCGATCCTCACATGAATGCTTGTTCCAAAGCGATGAAATGCGTGAGAGATAATGGAACGTTCCACATGTTTCAAAAACATACTATCACCGTCCCCGGTAAAGCGGACCGGAAGTTTACACACCACTCTAGCTTCCTGACGCATGATCACTGCCCAAACACACTGTAAAGAGCGTCTGCCGAATCACAACAGAAACATAACAACACAGTTACAATCATTGCTAAACAAAAAAATACACTACTTGGATTTACAACATAGAACTCGAGAATTTAACCAAAGAGTAAAGGTACATCGGTGATCTGATTTCGTTCAATAATTGTCATACAGCCAAATACCTTCGACGAATATCCCCACCTGGGCTAGAAATATAAAAAAAGACATGTAAAACGGCCTCATATGTAAATATTCCAAAATGAAACGATCCCATATCGATTCTCCCGAGGCTAATGCTCAAAATGCAATGTGGATGTATAGAGGTATACCTTTAAATAAATAATAATAAAACAGTTTAATGAAACTGGAATCATCAAAATACCTGGTCAGGACTGTTAGAATAAACATATATGTTGTTTCACATCCGCTACATTCTATCAACAGGGAAAACGTGTCACTGGAGTAATTAGGTGTGAAAGAATAGCAAATTAGAAGAAAATGTGATCTTTCTCCTATACCTATTAAGGGGAACGTATCAGTTCTGACACCAAGTAACTGACAAACTTTAGTTTGCTGATATTAGTGGCTGACTTAAGGTCAGAAGTGTCATACGTGATAAGTGGTTTATCGCGATAGTGTGAAATAAAGCTAACACAGAGAAGCTTTTAGTGCTCGTAGGTACTGTTGCCAAGGTAGTCGCCATTTTTTAAACATTAAACCTCAGTAACAGCCATCTGCGCATGCGCGAAGTGCTGAGTCAGTTTATCAGCTATCAAACCAGGCGAACACTGTAGTTAAATCGCACAGAAATAAGCAGGGCTTTACAGCCGCGTTATACAACATAACCTTCAAACATGAAACGAATCGATTATAGAAAATATGTTTCCTGTTGAGGTAGGCTCCCAGCTATGTTGTATAGTGAGCTATCTTCAGGTTTTAATTAGTTTTCTGTCTGGCATGAATACGTTTCTGAAGAAAAACAATGATTTATTTGAGACTTAAAGGGACTTGGCTATAGTAAATTGAAAGACCAAGGAAAATCATTCAGATGATACTTGGGTTTCAGTTTAGTAAAATTGATTATATACAATGTAGATCTATCTGAAAGTACTCACGCCAAAGTCTCGATTTCCCGCAGGACATTTATTACAGGAAGGTGTGTACAAGCTTGACGGAAGAAATGTACATGTCAGTCTGTACAAAACGTAGCACTGTATAAATATACCGAACAGGAAAGTGACTTGTTCCTGGTATAAGTTGATGGGACGAAATGAAATACATGGATAATTAGAGTATTGAAAACAATAACATTTCTATTATTTATTGCCAGGTCTCAAAGTGTTTTGATTATTCGACCACGGCCTGTGTTATTGCCTGAAGGGTAGAGTACACAGGAAGTATTTGTAGCGAGCGTGGTACACTGACGAGTTTGTTACTGATATAATCAGTCAGAAACCACAGCAGGATGATGTGTAGTTGGAGTTGGACTACTGTCATTTGTGTTTTGTTGTTTTCCCATAGTTGTATAGGAGGAGCGCCGACAGGTAAGACTGATACAATAAAAACATACATAACTCAAGGGATGAGGTGACGTGAAATGTAGTTCAACGTCATGCTCAAGATTATTGAGTGAACGCGCGTCTGTGTTTGTATTAGTACTAGAGGTTGTCAACAAAATTCCACTTTAAATTAATAACTTGGCACGAGTTTTATAGAATGTATATATATCCAGATATGTAAACCACTTGTGACTGAGTTGAATGTTGATAGCTGTACCAGTTGGTAGGCAGTTTCAAGTTGAGTGAGTGAGTGAGTAGGTTGGGTTTAACGCCGCTTTTAACAGTATTCCAGTTATATCGCGGCGTGTCAGCTTAATGTGGGAGGAAAGCCCGAAGTGACGTTTACCACTTCGGTGAAACCCACGAGCACGGGCATGGTGCTGACAAACCTAGTAACATAATTGGGGGATTCGAACCCACAATCATAGGTTTTTGGCGTGTTCAAGGGACGCAACTCTGCATAGCCAATCGCAGCGCCTTAGAAGACTGGGCCACCCGTGCCCCCGTTTCAAGGTGAAGCACGAAATAGTGGAACAGAATTTTTTTCCAATAATTGGTGTAAAATTAATTATGAATCATTCACTCTGTTTGCGTTATTTACGTGATGAATAGGGGCCATTCATTCATTCAGGGGGCACGGATGGCTCAGTCGTCTAACGCGCCGCGATTCTCTTTGCAGAGTTGCGTCCCTGGGGCAAACCTACGATTGTGGGTTCGAATCCCGGTTCGCCTCGATTATATTTCTAGGTTTGTCAGCACCATACCGGTGCCCGTGGGTGGTAAAAGTGTAAAACGCCTGAGACCCGCATCACTTCGGGCTTTCCTCCCACATTAAGCTGACACGCCGTGATATAAATGGAAAAATTTCAAAAGCAGCATTAAACCCAACACAATCACTCACGAAGAAAATGGAAATTTAATCTTAGACTTATATGTACACGGGGGTCCAACATAAAAACTCAATAGATAAATGTTCATACAAAAACTCAGTTAATATGTGACAAGTTATAACATCAATAACTAAACAGAAATAAATGATACGCCCCGATCAATGACACGGGACACCTCTCATTCACTGTACGGAACCCAAACATTGTCAAAGTCAAAATGTCAAGTACACAATACACGTTGTCTTGACGTTGATCATTCATGGAATTGAATATGTCGTGGATATGCTTGTTAGAAACAATCTGCAGGATTGTTCAGATTTATCATCAGAGAGTGTTATTCGCGGTCCCTGGGTAACAGAGGATTCATAATTGCTAATTGTGGACAGACAAGTATTGTGATGGGTATGTATTGGGCAAATAGTATGGATAATCTATTAGTACATGTTACTTTGCTACTTTTTGCGATGTAAATACATAAATATACCACGCAAAATAGGTTTAAGAACACCCGTTTTTTCATATGGCGATAGTTAATTTGTCATGGCTGGTAGGTATTACAACTGTAATCTTCCAACTGCTGGTGTTCTGTAACTATTTTACAAGTAATTAAACTATTGTTTCAGTAAATGTAGCCGTTTGGAAAAGAAATTGAATTGTAAATGTAATATTTGACGCATTTATCTTTCAGCTGCGTCAACTGTTTATATTCGTTTTGGAGAAACAGCAACTCTGGCTTGGAATTTGCATGGGTCTGGAAACAAAGACTTTTTTGTTAGAAACGATTTTTGGAAGGAAACGG